ACCATTTTTTAAAACTAAATAATTGCTACAGCTCTTTTAGAACTCTTTTAGGTTTTTACCAGAAAACCTCACATGCTATTAAAAAAATAAAGCTAAATAATTTGGAGGTTAATACCAATGAAACATGTTTATTAAATATACTGTAAATGAGAGGGGTAACTAAGGACTGTTTTTTTTTTTTCTTTTTTTTTTTTGAAGAATTTATCTTTTATTTTGTTGACCTCTACAGAATAAGTCATCTTAGTATATAACTTACTTACTCTAACAATGTTGCTGTTGTACAAAATATTTTTGGAAGTAGCTTAAGTTGTCTTTCTGTGATCTTAGCAAGGAAACTTCCTCAGGAAAGAAGCTATTTAGAATTATAAAAAAGATACTAATTAAGATATTATAGATAAGAAAGTGATGGGGAAAGGTGAGAAAAACAATTCAGATTAAGAGAGTTCACCACCAGTTAGAAGAGACTTCTACAGAATGCAATGGAAAAAGCCTCATGGCTGCCTTAAGAGTATATTAAATGAGTAAGAATATTACAACTAAGAAACAAGAAGGAGGGAATTGTCATATGGTGAGAGCGGAAAACTAGGTTGATATAGGAAAGAAAATACCAGAATAGTTCGGAGGTAGCTGAGTTCCCATCGTAGTATTTCATGTCATTGTTTCCCTGGCTTCAGGAGAAAAAGACAGTAAAGACAAAAAGAATTCTTTTTTAACTTAGGGACCTAAACACTAAATCTATTCCATTTCTTCTCAACTACGAACTGCTCTTTAAAATGAAATCCTGCCCAAATAAGAGGTTTCTTTTGTTTTGTCTGTTTTACTAAAGTGTACAGGAATTCAAAGGAAAGCATCTATTATTAATGATTTTTCTTCTCTTTATGGAAGTGTACCCAGTTTGAGAAATTAAAAGAATTAAAATTCAAAAAATATAGGATTGGAAGAAAAAGTAGAAAACTATCAAAGTATGTAAATTCCACTTTGGGCTGGGCATGGTAACTCATGCCTGTAATCCCAGCACTTTGGGAAGCTGAGGTAAAATGATCACTTGATCCCAGCCTGGGCAACATAGCAAGATCCCATCTCTGATTTAAAAAAAAAATCCAATTTGACTTCTCCAGTAGAGATTTTGATTGTCAGACCGTCAGCACAATTCCAAAAAAAAATCATATACTATATCACATTAAAAATTAAATGGAAAACAAAGGATTAAGGAAGAGAATGTAATTCTTCACCCCTTCATTACCTTCTAGACCACTAAGCATTTAAACCAGATTAGCTGGGGGTAAATAATTAGCAATACAAGGTAGACTGAGGACATGAAATTTCAGGTTGTAATTTTGAAAGAAAAATAAATCTTTGTTTAGTTTTTACTACTATTTTCTTTTGAATTTTTAATGATTTCTCTCCTTATTTCCTATCTTTAATTAATTTTTTTCATACTGTACATTATCATCAACTGTTGAAACCTGATCAAATGGTAAGAGCTCTGTTAAGACAAGAAATACATACTATCTTGTATCTGTATTCCACAGAGAATGCTATATCCTTTATTTCAATTCAAATGATTTACTGTGATTACCAGTCAGGTCACTCAAGAATGCATGTAACTTAATTCCTAGAGGTAGATACAGATTTTTTAATAAAAGGTTGTATGGTAAAAAAGATCTTTGTCTAGTTCTTTATAGAATTCCCCTATATGTTCATCTATTCATGAGACAAAAATTTAAGCACTAACAGTATTCCAGGCACTTTATTAAGTATTAGATATAGCTATACCTTAGAAGAGAACAGAAAACGTTATCTTGCTTCTTACGGTGTCATCCAAATGTCCCTACAGAGGCAAAATCACCCACACTTGAGACCCACCGCTCTAAATGGAGCAGTGGCCTAGGACATAGTTCTAGGCCATCAGATCTTCATCAGTGCACTGGGTACACTCATTCTTCTCATCTAAGAAGTGATCTAGAAACCAAGCAGAGTGGGAAAGAAAGTATTTTGAGCATCTGTCTCTTCTGAGCAGGGACAGATCCAGGTTTAGTAGAATCTAAACATTTTCACAGGCCCTCTTTAAGAAAAAAATTTTAAAAACCATACAACTATGAACTTAAGTATATATGCAGATGACTATGAGTGACACATATGTCTCATTTATCCCAAACCCAATGTAAGCTCATCTTTTTTTTTTTTTCTGAGACGGAGTTTTGCTCTGTTGCCCAGGCTGGAGTGCAATGGCGCTATCTCAGCTCACCGCAACTTGTGCCTCCCGGGTTCAAGTGATTCTCCTGCCTCAGCCTCCCCAGTAGCTGGGATTGCAGGCATGGGCCACCATGCCTTGCTAATTTTGTATTTTTAGTAGAGACAGGGTTTCTCCATGTTAGTAAGGCTAGTCACAAACTCGTAACCTCAGGTGATCCGCCCTCCTCGGCCTCCAAGTGCTGGGATTCCAGGTGTGAGCCACTGTGTCCGGCCTATAAGCTCATCTTTAGCCAAATCTCCAAAATGCCCTTTGCCACTCACATTATCACCTACCAGCTCAAGGGCAAATCAGAATGGAAAGAGACAGCAGTCGTAACCAGTTGATTACAATTGAAATACATTACTTTGTATAATTTTACCCACAAAAAACTATGGGAATGCTTTTGTATAGCTTCTTCTAGGGCCTTGAATGGGGCCTATGCAAGAGGAAGCCCTAAATTCTCCTCTAAGGAAAATACCATGTAACATGCCCCAGTCTAGGACCAGTAAAACCAGCTACTGAAGGATAGACATTCCTTACCACTTCCAGGCCCAGGTTCCCTGGTTGCATCAAAGTATCTCTCCCAGCTGAGCACAGTGGCTGATACCTATAGTCCTAGCATGTTGGGAGGCCAAAGCAGGTGGATCTCTTGAGCCCAGGAGTCCGAGATCAGCCTGGGCAACATGGTGAAAGCCTGTCTCTATAAAAAATACAAAAAAAATTAGCTAAGTGTGATGGTGTGCACCTCTAGTCCCAGCCACTTGGGAGGCTGAGGTGGGAGGATTGCTTGAGTCCAGGAGGTGGAGGTTGCAGTGAGCCAAGATCATGTCACTGCACTCCAGCCTGGGTGACAGATCAAGACTCTGACTCAAAAAAAAAAAAAGTATCTGTGTCCATACCCGTGAAAGAGGAGAATAACACTCCTCCTCGGAGAGCTAAGTTGAGACCCACTGATCATCAGTATTTCTGGGTCATTTCTAGAGATGATAAAAGCAGACAGATGACCACAGGTTCAATATAACTTTTGATTCTCCTCTTGGCAAATACATTCCTCAAAAGCTCTCAAAGGAATATTAATTGATGTTTCATTGTTGATAATCTTAACTATTATTTACCGATTGCCTTTTGTATACCAGGTACTCCATTCTTTTTGTATACCCCGATTGAAAACTTACAGAAAACTGAGATTTATCCTTATTTTACAAATGAAGAAAGTGAGATATAGAGGTTAAGTAATTTGTTAAGTAAATGATAATTGTTAGAAATCTGTAATAAAAACACAGCCTTTTTAATAATTTTTTTGAACCAGTGTTAAGATAATGATTGTTAGGTTTTGAAGGGAAGGTGAGAGTTAAAGAAAGACACAGAAAGAGGGCGGCTCAAGAGCAAATGCAAGCTTTTTGTCCAGCATAAAACCTACAGAAGTGGGGGACCAGCCTAATGCTAGAGCCCATCAGCTGCTTACAGGCTGTGGGTACTTACAGGTATGGGCGGGAGGGGTCTGGGCAGTATGGCCCACTGTCCGGCAGAATATTGATAAGATGTTCCCATGATGAGGTGGTTCTGGCCCTTGTTCTGGTGGGATGTCTTTGTGGTGTTCCTTGGACCTTTATCCAGCAAGATATGATAAGGATCTTTCTGTCTTTTTTTTTTTTTTTTTTTTAAGTTGGAGTCGCTCTCATTGCCCAGGCTGGAGTGCAACGGCAAAATCTCAGCTCACTGCAACCTCCACCTCCCGGGTTCAAGCAATTCTCTTGCCTCATCCTCCAGAGTAGCTGGGATTACAGGCACCCGCCACTGTGCCCAGCTAATTTTTTGTATTTTTAGTAGAGATGGGGTTTCACAGTGTTGGCCAGGCTGGTCTCAAACTCTTGACCTCAGGCGATCCACCTGCCTCAGCCTCCCAAAGTGCTGGGATTACAGACGTGGGCCACCGCACCTGGCGTGATAGCGATCTTTCTATAGTGGTCAGATGGTGGTAGGCAGGATGTTTCCAAGGTCCCGAACCCCTGTGAAATGTTGACTTTGACCACGGTCTGCAAAATAGCAGGGAGCTTACAAAACGGTGCCGTTTGGACTAACAACGATTACTTTGTAAACTAAATTATTAAACTTCTGGTTGTATTTCTATTTGTAGAGATAAAATCCTGAAGCTGTTTTGGGGTTCTGCATGTTTAATACCTTAATAAGTTTTGGCTTAAAGCCTGGGGGAATACTTTCTGACTGGCAATAACAGAATTTTTACATGGAATCCTTTGAGGAATAATTCCATGATCCATTATCCTTCCTTTCAAATACAGGTTTTAAGTGTAAATTTCTTTCTTCCTGCTGTACTGTACTGTATCCAAAAATACTGTGTCAGGTGCTCTGCTGTGACATCTGGTTGGAAAGGTTTCTGAAAATACTTGTGATTGAAAAGGATTTTGTTACCATTTTTAGTGTGCGACAGCAATAAAGCAGACCCTAATGACTACATTATTCTAACTAAAAATAGTCTGGGCCACACCATTCTACACCCGTCTTTGGGTTTCCAGTCTGATAATGATATCTAAAAGATCGTTGTGTGTAATAATAACACATGTAAATAATGCTTTATGCTGTTTCTTCTCATACTCTTAACTTTATGAGTATAGTCACCGGTTTCAAATGTACATGACTTTAAAAATTCAAGGTATTTTTAGTAGAGAATTAGATGACTTTTTACCTGACATTTTATTTAACATTATGTTAACACATAATGTAATAGTGTATTCTTTTTGTTTAGATGTTTGGAAACTGGACATTTGGCACTTTGGTCTTCACAGTCATGGTTATTACAGTCACAGTAAAGGTATGGTACTGAAATTAGAAATGTGGACACATTTTGCAACTGTTTACATAATTAGTTAATTTTCTTCATTTCTTTAGCCATAGATACTTTTCCTTTTTCCATTTTCAAAAACTATTAATTTCACTGATTACTATTTTAATAATTCACTTAAATTTTTGTCAAAAGTTATTTTTAAAGTTTATTTTAGGAAGCCTCAACTGATTTTTATGATCACATTTTTAAAAATCTCTAAAATTTTTCTTCTCTGCGTATAGTGCCGGACAACGTAATTTGTTTTAGGCCATGGAATTGAAAATAGAGTAATCACATGAAATTTGAATGCTGCTTCCTCAAAGAAGAAAAATATTATAAACCTGAAATTATTTCATTTTATACTAGGACCTTTTCATTCGTATTTATCTCTGAGGGATTTTGAGGGATTATATCTGTCTTCTGAGGGACTTTTAGATATTTATGTTTATTCTTGAGTTTTATCTGAAAAGTTAAGGTAAAGCTTTATTTGTTTATATTTCTAAGGATATAAAAACTTTTTTTTTAGATGGCTCTGGAAACCCATTTTTGGACTTGGATCAACCATCTCGTTACCTGGGGATCTATTATATTTTATTTTGTGTTTTCCTTGTTTTATGGAGGGATTCTCTGGTGAGTGAATATGTTGTATTTTAAATGGATTGCTTCGACATAATAAACCTTTATTGTGATAGGTTGCATTATGAACATATTCTGCTCATAACAGATTTGAGACTCCTGGTAAGTTTACTTCTTTCAGTTGATCTTACTGATATGGAGAGGAAAAAACTAACATTTATTGAATATCTACAATTTTTCTAGATTTTCTGTGTAAGATATTATATTGATTCATCACAATCATTATCCCTGTTTTTTTCTGTGTAGAAACTGAGCCTCAGGGTCACAAAGACAAAAAAGTAGCAAAGCCACGATTTAAACCCCAGTTGTCTTATTTCACAATTAATTTTCTTTACACTAGTTATATTATGTATTAATGTATTATGTATTAATATATACAATAAAGTAAGTCACACAGAACCATTAAATATTAGTCATTAACTTTTCTCACAAAAGTAAGTAGTATGCATCATCTTCATTGATAGAATCAGATACTCAACTGGCTACTCTGAGAGATTAAAAATTAATGTTTCTCCTAAGATTCTTTGGTAAGTGATGGATAACTGAAGGCTCTCTTTTGGAGAATTTATATTACATTTGCCTGCTATGTCTTTGATTCATCTATCAGACAAAAAAGCTTCTGAAGGTAGGCCAAAAAAATTTGGATTAGCTAAACATTAGCTTCTAGTTAGGATCATAAAAGGATATTATGAATGTTTCTATATTTCACCATATTCTTTTGAGGTAGTATATACAAAAACCCAAAAAGAATATCTTTATAACACCTACTACTATTAAAACTAGTATTTGTGAGTACATTAATTTTAAAATATGTTTTTGAAGAAGAGCTTCTGAATAAAGCTTTCATTCTAAGATTTGGATAATCAGTCTTCTCAGATATTTTGTTACACCCTTTTTCTTGCTTTGCTTGGTCCCTTAAGTCTGTATTAGTACATTATTCTTCTGATATGCTACCACTAAGGGTTATCTGGTCAACTGCTTGCCATTTTCCTAATAAAAACTATAGTTGTTTTATTTTTAACAATTAAAGCTTATCTTGTTAGTTTTTCAGTTAATTAAATTATACTGATTTCAGTTTTGAACATTTTCTTGGAGTACTTGTTACGTTCAACTGTAGTGTCTTTATATGATGTCCTGATTTAAGTCTTTCAGTTTCCACTTTTATTAAGCACATTGTCTTTCTTTGCAGGCCATTTTTGGGCTCCCAGAATATGTACTTTGTGTTTATTCAGCTCCTATCAAGTGGTTCTGCTTGGTTTGCCATAATCCTCATGGTTGTTACATGTCTATTTCTTGATATCATAAAGAAGGTATTTGACCGACACCTCTACCCTACAAGTACTGAAAAGGCACAGGTAACCACTTTTTGTAATAAATTCATTATCTTTTTAGTTAGGGATCTTTAATGATGAATAGCTGTCATAATTTGCTTATGTCAGAAAATAGGAAATTAGCCATTCCTGTTTCAAGTATTTTGTAACATAAACATTGTTCAATGTGATATTTTTAAAGTTATTTCTTACTATTTCTATTAATTTTATGACTACTGATAAATTATTTTTTAATTACATTGTGTTAATAAAACTTGATGTTTTTAGATATGAAACTATCAAGTTATATCCAGATAATAGTAAATATTTTAAAGTAATATCACAACATTCGATCATATATATATATAATGAAGATCTATAGCTATGTCTTTAGAAACATAATAATTTGAGGAATTTTTCTTTTTTTTTTTTTCCGAGATGGAGTCTTGCTCTCACCCAGCCTGGAGTGTAGTGGCACGATCTTGGATCACTGCAACCTCTGCCTCCTGGGTTCAAGCAGTTCTCCTGCCTCAGCCTCGCAAGTAGCTGGGATTACAGGCACTTGCCTCCACACCCGGCTATTTTTTGTATTTTTAGTAGAGACGGGGTTTTACCATTTTGGCTAGACTGGTCTCGATCTCCTGACCTTGTGATCCTCCTGCCTCGGCCTCCCAAAGCACTGGGATTACAGGTGTGAGCTGCTGCACCTGGCTGAGTAATATTTTTTCTGATCATATTATTTTCACCAAAAAAGTATGAAATGAGGTCTTTAACCTCAATAATTTGTACAGAATAGAATTTTTAAAAACATATTATCTCACTAAACATTTATTAATAAATATTAAACTACAGCAAATATTAGCGGTATGTTACATAGTGCTTAAGAATCTTGGGGGCCTAATAGATCTAAGTTCAAATCCCAGGTCTTCCATTTGGTATCTCTGTGACTTTAAATCTCAGTTTCCTCATTGGTAAAATTACGATAGAAATATCTTTTATATTACCTTTCTAGTGAAGATTAAATGAAAAAGTTTCCAAATACATAGTAGATGCTCAAAAATTGTAGCTATTTAGTTGAATGTGCCTCTTTTATATATTTGACTAGTACCTGAGCTAGAAGTCTCTCAATTTGTCCTTTTAACTATATTGTAGTATTAGATAAATACTCTCAAAAATATATTCTAGTCAACTCTTATGCCCTGAGTTTATTAATCATTTAGTTCTTCCCAGGTTGAGATTTTTTAAACATGCTTGTAACATGCCAGATGAATTTTGGAAATTTAGTTGTATATTCATCCTACAAATAGAAAAACTACTTCCTAAACATTTAGTGATGTAAGTTAGGCTTCCTGACCAGTGCATTAGTTTTAATTTCAGTTGGTCATGTCCACAACATTTCTTTAGCATTTGTTTGCTTCAATAACCAAATCCTAGCCAGTATACACATTCACACCATTGAGACAGCATAGGCTTGTGAAGCCTGACAAACTTGAATTCAGATATTGTTTCAACAGTTCATATGTATGTCCTTGATCAAGCACTTCATAAGCCTCAGTTTCCTCCTCTATAAAATCAGATAAATAATTACTACTTTACATGGTTGGTAGAGATAATGAGTATGAAGTGCCTCACACTGAGCCTGTATATAGTTGATCCTCAGTAAAACAGTTATCATTGTAAGTAAAATGAGGATGAGAATGTTACCCTGTTACACTGATCTCCAACTGGGGCTAAAAAAATTTGCATATCTGATTGCTCTATCTGTCCATGCATATATATTTATATCAGTGTGGACAGACTTTTCCACTCTGTAACATATTACTTAAACATATATCAGAAAGTTTGCCTAGCTTACTATTCCTAATCTTCTGGAAAAAAAATTTACAATAAAAGAGTACTATTTTTAAGGCTTTGTTCATTATACTTACTCTAGATCTTTATGGAGAATACTTTGTCTCCCTGTTTTGACCTAAATATAGTTATATTTCACCAAAATATATGGATGGCATTGTTTTAAAGACTTAATTCTTGAGGCTGGGTGCAGTGGCTCACACCTGTAATTCCAGCACTTTGGGAGGCCGAGGCAGGTGGATGGCTTGAGCTCAGGAATTTGAGACCAGCCTGGCCAACATGGCGAAAGCCTAGGTCTCTACTAAAAATTAAAAAAATAGGCCGGGCACAGTGGCTCACACTTGTAATCCCAGCACTTTGGGAGGCCGAGGCAGGTGGATCACGAGGTCAGGAGTTGGAGACCATCCTGTCCAATATGGTAAAACACAGTCTCTACTAAAAATACATAAAAATTAGCCGGATGTGGCGGTGGGCACCTGTAGTCCCAGCTACTTGGGAGGAGAATTGTTTGAACCTGGGAGGTGGAGGTTACAGTGAGCTGAGATGGCGCCACTGCACTCCAGCCTGGGCAACAGAGTGAGACTCCGTCTCAAAAAATAATAATAAATAAAAATTTAAAAACATAAATTAGCCAGGCATGGTAGCACACTCCTGTAGTCCCAGCTACTCAGGAGGCTAAGGCACAAGAATCTCTTGAATCTGGGAGGCAGAGGTTGCAGTGAGCCAAGATTGCGCCACTGCACTCCACCTTAGGCGACAAAGTGAGACTCCATCTCACAAAAAAATATATACTTAATTCTTTATAAGAGTAAATATAGGTTCAGTATCCTTTATCCAAAATGCTTGTTTCAGATTTCAGATTGTTTAAAGAGTACTTGCATTATACTTATTGATTCAGCATCCTTAATACAAAATCTGAAATGCTTCAATTAGCATTTTCTTTGAGCATCATGTCTACACTCAGAAAGTTTCAGATTTTGGATTTTCAGATTGGAGATACTCAACCTGTAATCAGATTTATTTATATGTATCCTTAGAAATTCTACTTTAGGCAGAGCGTTTGCAAACTTACACGTGTTCTTAGAGGTTTCTTAATAATATAAAAGGTTATATATATAATATATTATATATATTATATTATATATATTATATATTAGTTCTTGTTACCTTTCCGGTAGCCTCTTTTTAAAGTAATACATAGGAAATGTTTGGACTACCTTAAGGTAGGCCGTTAGACAAGTTGAAAGTTAAAAGTGCTTATACATATTTTGGTTCTTTCACTATAAAGCTAAAATTGGTTTAGTCTATTTGATTAAAAATGGAATGTACAGTGGATCAATCATTTTATCTATGTATAAAAGCTAGTATGGTCTTCCTTCTTGGCTCACTAAATTTACTTCTAAATGACTTAACTGGATGTTCTAGGTGGTCTAATCCAAGAAGGAAATCTCTGCTTCTACTCAGGGATCTTCTAGCCTGCTGGGGTTGGTGTATTTTTTCCTTTCCTTTTTTTTTTTTCTTTTTTTTGCTGAAACAGTATATGGTCATTGAAATCCTATATGTAACATTATTCCTTGTTATAGTCAGTAATCATTATTTTAGCTTTATATCATTCCTGATTTCAAATTATGGAGAAATGGCTAGAAAACTGTCAGCTACTTCATTGTTTACCAAAAGTAGCAAGAAAAATCGTATCAGAGGAAGAGCTGTCAGCATGTTTTCTGAGCCTTGTTTTTCTCCAGAATAACAATGTGGTGTTAAGAGTGAATAATAAATTCTTTTGATGGCACAGCCAACAGCCCTACAAATGTTAGTCATGTATGTGTATCACGTATGATATTTATTCCTCCTGTAGGAACAGATGTATTTACAAAGCGTGTCCTGTGTCTGTCTCTTAGGTGATGAATACAGCTCACTGACTTGTTGTGTGTCCATCCCTTTTCTGTCCACTTATAGATGTACTCCAACACAGTTGCTTTAAGTGACGAGTTCATCGCACTGCAGCCATTGTCGAGGGCAAGGAATCAGCTGAGCAAACTTAGGTAGAGTAGGAGGAGTAGAACCTCATTAACTCTTCTGCATGCTAAAGGTCAATTAAACAATATCAAAAGATGGGCAGAGGCATGAATAAAGAGTGGGGCATTTTTGTTAGCATGGCCCTGTCTCTGGCTAATTTGACCTTTATTAACATATACATTAAAACCTAAAAATAAAAAAAATTAAAAAAATCCATTTCTTCTTTGAGAAGAAAATTCAGATAAAAATTCAACGTGATCACAGAACAGAGATCTATACCTTGTTAATATATTTTTACACCTTAACTATCTTTTCTAGTACAACTCTAATGCTTCTGCTTGTCATGTTATTCATATTTATGAATGCTCCTGCATGTTGAGTAATTAAAGCTACATATTTGGAAGTGAGAGTTGCCCATTTTTTTATCTTGCCTTAATTTGTATTGTAAATACATGTGCATATTTATGTTTGTATACTGTAATGGCTGCTGAAGCATTTCATATCCTGGCTACTATTTAGTGCATCTATAAATTGAACAATGTGTGTGTATGTCTTATCTTTATCTCCACAGACAGATGCATTCTGTCAGTTTGTACAAAAAATAATATAGAGATGTCTTTTGATAGAAAGGGATGAAAGCTTAAATTCTAGGATTTTTTATATTAAGATACTAAAACTATGTATTAAGTATGGTTTGAAGGGGAAAAGTAATATAACTTATTATTTTTCTTTTTAGAAATTGGCACTTTTCCATTTCTTGCTCTATTGGTTTCTTACAGATTCTTAATCGTGTATTTTTTAAAATTCTTTTTTATTCTCAGAGTTTCTAATCTTTATGCTCATTTGAATTTTAAATTCTTTTTTATTCTCAAGGTTTCTGATCTTTCTGTGTTTTTCTGATCAAATGAATGGCTTTTACAAAGCACCACTTAAATCACCTTTTATAAAACTCCGTAAGTTCATAATATTGAGCCATTTAAAGGTTTATTAAACCTTTCAGGTTATTATTAACTTCAACTTTAAAAAATATTCTATTTCAAATTACAATGGTGTAATAATTACAGATGAGTACACAAATGGGTGTTTAAGTGGTAGTCAACTAAATTTTATATTTAAAATGAGAACTAAATTAAAACAAAGATTTACCTTCACTTTTGGCTCAGCCAGATAGGTGTATCACAATTTTATCAGTAAGTGACTTTAAAAACAGTGGCTTTCTATCACATTTTTTAGCATCTAATTATTTAACTCTAAAGCAGAAGGAGAGCTCATTATTTAAAAGCACACTCTGGCCAACTGTTTTTTGTCATATAAAGATAACTTTTATATTGTGAATAATCATATTTTTATGAAATCATATTTTCACATATACTGGCTTAAATCAAACCGCATTTTTTTAGCAAAGCTAGATTTAAGAATAATGGAGAAAGGAAATCATAAATCAAAGAAATCACTGATTCTGTAATACTCTGATAAAACAGTAAGCTGAACATTCGTCTGTGAAAGGTCACAATGAGAACAGGATATGGATGAGATGGTCTTTCTGCAAGCCACTCTCCAATCAGGTGGTGTAACAAGTGGGAAAGAACACTGTTCAGAGAGCGGCAGGCCTGAATGCTGATGCTGCAGCTGGTGCTACTCCTAGTGGGTCCTAACCAAGTCACTTAACCTCTGGGCCTCCAGGTTCTTCACCTGTCACATTTTACATACTGTGGTCTGCTTATTTACCATCAGCATCATAGAAAAACAAAAAGAAGAAATACTGTGCTCAACTAAAAGCCAGGCAGAGAAACAGTTACTCAGATTGAGCAGTGAGTGACCACTAGGTGGGCATTTGTTCATAGCTGCATGGAGAATAAGTGCCCATATACATCTTTCTGCTGATGCAGCCTCTGAATTTTGAATGCATCGGTTTTTTAAACTGCATTGAGCAGTATTACATGGGTGTGATCCATAGTAGCGTAACTGTTTACTCCTGTGACAGAGAGGAAAACTGTATGGATATCAGGTATCTTTAAGAGCTTTTTAATCTTTAATCAAGTTAGTACTTCTTAAAGACAATTAAGGCCAGGCGGTGGCTCACGCCTGTAATCCCAGCACTTTGGGAGGCCAAGGCGGGTGGATCCCTTAAGGTCAAGAGTTCGAGGCCATCCTGGCCAACATGGTGAAACCCCATCTCTATTAAAAATACAAAAATTAGCTGGGCGTGGTGGCAGACACCTGTAATCCCAGCTACTCGAGAGGCTGAGACAAGAGCATCGCTTGAAGCCAGGAGTTGGAGGTTGCAGTGAGCCAAGATCATGCCACTTCACTCCAGCCTGGACAACAGAGTGGGACTTCTTTTTTTAAAAAAAAAAAAAAAAAATCAATACAAAACTATTAACAATTTTCTTTTGAATAAACAAAACTCATTTTGAGTATTTTCCCTTCCCCTCTTCCCCTGTATTATAGGCAAAGCTATTAAGATATCTTCACATAAACTTACTATACTCTTGAAACCAAAAAATTCTGCTAATTTTTTGTTTATATCAGAAATTCAGCATTACATCTTTCATAGAAATAATTATTGGTCAGTCTTAATCCTGGGAAAATACATAGAGATGAGGCAAAATTGTTTTTTATTCATTAAGGACATTTTCTTGTAATTTAATAAGATTTAAAATAAGGATGGCTGTGGACACACTTTAAACTTCCTTAGAAGGTCTCTAATACAAATACAGAAAAAGAACTGAAATGTGTATAAATTATTGACCCTCATTAAAAATCTGTTTCAAATTGAGGATTAAATTTATTTTGTTAACAAATAGATCAGGTGAAGCGCTTTGCACATATGCTCAACATTTCTAAGGTCATGAAGTCCAGTTAGAGTAGAGAAGTCTTCTGAGAAGGGAAGCAGGAAAGGTGAGAAATTGGACATACCTTTGCAATAAGAACCCTAAATCTTGGTGGCAAGTGAATTTAATAGAAGAAACTGAATTTTATTGAAAGAAATTTTGTTTTAACTTAGCTGTAATATATGTTTAGTTAGAGCTTTGTGCACTGGAAAATCATGGCTTTATTTTGTGTGCTTATGTTCCCCTTAAGAAGTTCCTGTTAGGGAAACTGCCCCTTTTCGGGGGTCATGATGGGCAGCAAGATGGCGTCTGCCAGTAGGGCCGTTCAGGTAGTCAAACCACACACTGCATTAATAAGGTTTCCTGACAGAAGAGACAATCCTAAACCCAATGTATCAAAAGCTTTGAGATCAGCAGGGCTACCATCTCACTCTTCTGTAATTTCACAACATTCTAAGGGAAGTAAATCACCAGATTTGCTGATGTATCAGGGTCCACCAGATACTGCAGAAATAATAAAAACATTACCTTAGAAATACAGAAGGAAACTTGTGTCTCAAGAAGAAATTGAATTTATCCAACATGGAGGTCCTGAATAACCATGGTGGCTGCTGTGTCATCAGACAATAGAATTGTCTTTACAATAAAGGACTTCCAAAATGACAGATGAGAAACTGTATATTAAACACCTTCAATAAATAGTATAAAAAAATGAAATATAGAAAATTTAGATGGACATTTGTATTTCCTAATTTATGTATCTTGGTCAGCTTCTCCACAAGCTTACCTAATTGTTTATACACTTTATAGTTATTAAAATATACATTTGGGAAAAAAAAGTTCCCGTTAGCCCTCTTTTGTGACAGTAAATGTGCTGTTCTTTGAACATTTATTTTGTGCCTCAGATTGTGGACGCCAACTTGTTGCTTTGATTTTAAACCTCTATATGGTGAAGAGTATCGTTCTGTAATATGAGACTTGTTGCTTTTCTGTCCTTCCAGATGGAAGAAGATAAGGGTTCAGTCAGCTCAGCATATGAATTTGCTGAAAGCCAGCACAGAGGGGAGGACAGTAGGCACCTGCTAGCTGAGACTTGCAGCCAGCAGGACAGTTGTTGCGTGCACTAGGTAGTACTGCGCTGGACCTTCCCGGGGACTCATCCGCTAAGTTCTCCTGCTTGGGGGGCACATCATGGGACACCTGACCTGATATTTCCATTTCGTTACTAATTCCTTCACTGTTCCTCATATGTTGTTTTGGTTTTGTTGTTTTCCTTTTTTGTGATCTTTATATTTTTCATATGTCCATCCCTGAAAATTTTGTCAATCTCTCTTTAGAGTTCCAAAGATAAATCAGACTTCACCTCACATTCTAAGCTGTGAAGATACTCTCACAACCTATTGTCTTACATTCAAGAAAATACTCCTTTTCGCTTCTCCTTTTGAAAATGTCTTGCTATTTCTGCTTTCTCTGAAATCATTTTCCCCCTTGAAGTTGTAGTTGTGTATCATTTACCCATCTTAATGCAGTAAGATACTGAATTACTTATCTAAGTCACCTTTTAAGTTGAATGATCAAAGAGTAGGGTGCTTAGACTTAGTACTGAGAAATTTTCTGCTGACTGATATTCAACAAACTTTCCATTCTTTTCATAAATCTTTTGAGACAGGGTCTCATTTCATCGCCCAGGCTAGAGTGCAGTGGCACGGTCATGGCTCACTGCAGCTTCAACCTCCTGGGCTCAAGTGGTCCTCCCACCCCAGACCCTGCTCCTGTAGCTGGGACTACAGGTGCATCCCACCATGCCCAGCTAGTTTTTTGTATTGAGTCTCGCCATGTTGCCCACACTGGTCTCAAACCCCTGGGCTCACGCGATCTACCTGCCTCAGCCTCCCAAAGTGCTGGGATATAGGTGTGAACCACCACACCTGGCTCATAAATTTTCATAGTTGTATCTTTTTAATAAAAATTGTTTTAAAAAGGCCGGGCGTGGTGGCTCATGCCTGTAATCCCAGCACTTTGGGGGCTGAGGTAGGTGGATCACGAGGTCAGGAGATTGAGACTATCCTGGCGGACACGTGAAACCCCATCTCTACTAAAAACACAAATCATTAGCTGGATGTGATGGTGGACGCCTGTAGTCCCAGCTACTTGGGAGGCTGAGGCAGGAGAATGGCGTGAACCTGGGAGGC